GTGCGGGCCGGGACCGGGAGGACGAAACCTTAATACAGCGTGGATCTCAGTAGTGACTGAGAGAAAACGCTGGCAGGCTTCTTTTTAACAGGCTCTGCGGACATGGATCCTGGTTTACCCCTGCAGCTTGCAGTGACTGCGGATACCGGTCTTCCAAGCACCAGCACGGCTCAGTTATGGAAGATATGTACTATCTTACCTCCCTGTTACCTCTGATGTTTCTTTTCCTCCACCTGGGGTCCCTTGGTGTTGGATGCTTTGGTGTTGAGGGGCACTCTAACCCTGTTTTTTGAGTGAAGGACAGTGGGTAACATGGCTCCTTGGTTTCTTTCAGGCTAAAGAAAAAACAAAGGTGGCCCCAAAGAAAAAATGTGCAGTTTGTGCGGTGAAGTTGAGCTCCGGTTATGCATTGAGGGTCTTCTTAGGGAAGAGTCTGCTGCAGCCAGTAGCAACCTGTTGGTTTCTGTTAGGGAGGAGTTATCTGCAAGGCCCTTGAAAGGCTTAGACCAGTGGTGGTTCGTTCGGTTCCCCAATGGAATTTGTCTACGGTGTTGCAGGTTCTCATAGCCGCTCCTTTTGAGCCCCTGGATAAGGTCTCACTTAGAAACCTTACCTTAAAAACTGTGTTTTTGGTAGCTATTACTTCTGCTCGTAGGGTGAGTGAGCTCCAGGCCCTATCCATTAAGGAACCGTTCCTGTCTATTTTTGAGGATCGGGTTGTCCTTCGAACAGACCCGGCTTTTCTGCCAAAGGTCGCTTCGAGGTGCAACAGGGTGCAGGAGATCATTCTACCTACTTTCTGTCCCAAACCAGTAGGGAGCAGGGAATCAGGTTTTCACTGTTTAGATGTGAGGCGGTGTTTGCTCCAGTACTTGAAGATTTCCAAGGACTTCCGGAGATCTGAATCACTATTTGTGCTGTTCTCTGGTGGGTCCAAGGGGAAGCAAGCTTCTAGATCCTCCTTAGCTAGGTGGTTGAGGCAGGCCATTATGGAAGCTTATGGAGTATTAAATGTTCCTCCCCCGTCTTTGGTGACGGCACATTCAACTAGAGCTTTGGCAACGTCCTGGGCCGAACGAGCTGGTGCTACGCCGGAACAGATTTGTAAGGCGGCAACATGGTCAAGTTTCTCCACCTTTGCAAAGCATTATCGCCTAGATCTCAATACCGCAGGGGATCAGGCATTTGGCAGGAAGGTACTACAAGCTGTGGTCCCGCCCTAATTGGTAAGTTCTTGGTTATCCTCTCGTGATGCTGTCCTGGAAGACGTTATGGGAAATTCAGAGTTAGGACTTACCGGTAACTCTATTTCCATTAGTCTTCCAGGACAGCAACTGCCCGCCCATTGATGCTTGTAGTATTAATGTGATGTGGTGGTATTGCCTGTATGTGCCTTGTCTTTTTCCAGCTTGCCTTCGGTTCTCGTGATGACTGAGGGAGTGGAGGAGAGGAGGGTCTTTTAAGCAAATTAAGTGACGTGTTTCCTGTGTGTGGGGGAGGAGATTCCATCTCGTGATGCTGTCCTGGAAGACTAATGGAAATAGAGTTACCGGTAAGTCCTAACTCTGAATTTTAATGAATTCTTTACCCTTACCTCTTCTGGCTGGTCTTCTGTCCTCACCTGTTTCCTGGCCTGTCTTCACCTGTTGCCTATGTGTTTTCTGTTTGCTGGGTCCTCACCGCCGTCCGAGGCCCCATGATGTGCCTGCAGGGCTGTCTTCAGTGCCTCCTTGTTCTGCGGCTCCCTCCTCACAGCAGCCGGCGGGCCCCATACTAACAGTGGCATTCGGCTTGAGCCTCCGTGGTACCGTGCAGAATAATAAAACAGTTAAAGTTTTTAAAAAATGGAAAATGATTGGGCGGAGCTAGCAGTTACAACTAGCTCCGCCCAACTGTTTTCCATTGGCCAGGACCAGCTGTCATTACAATGAGAGCTCGCTGGAGCCGGCGGTGATATCAAAGCCGGCTCTGCTAAGCTCTCATTTTAAAGACCAGTGACATGCGGTACATCTCGGGGTGAGGCATTCCCCAGCCCCGCCCCGTAGGCCGAAGCCCCACCCCCAAGCTAGTGTAAATGAGGAGGGGAGGAGCCTCCCTGTCCCTCACTTGCTCCTCACCGCTGAGGCTCCGTGACAGGTTACACATCTGAAAGGGGATCTGAATGGAGAAAAAGATATGAAGCTGACAGCTTTTTCCTCCATAATTCTAGGTGAGGCTCTGCCTCCCCTGACAGCACGTCCCTGGTAATGACAGTTCAGCATCCCCTGGTTACCTAGTAACCAGGGGATGCTAAACTGTCATTACACACTGAGAAGTCGGCGGAGCCCCCGTGATATCAGATCACAGCATTAGCTCCCTGTTATCTGCTGATTCCCCTACTATGTTTTTTTTTTTCTATTACCTTGACAGCTGCTGCAAGCTTCCTTTAGAGTAACGTGTCTTTACACCCAGTTGGACTTCCTGTTTATCTCTTGTCTCTGTAATCCCTGCGGTTGCCCACCATCTACCTTGTTTCCTGTGAGTCTGGATTCCCTCTTCCTCACAGTGAGATCCTGTACGTCCTGCATTGGATTGATCATCAGCTTCTTCAAAAGCCTTTTGTTCCTGGAGAAGAAGGGCGTTGTCTACATTGCCACAACCTTTATACTGCTCCACCTGGAGGAAGGATTGGCAGCTTAGATGAGCAACTACTCTGGTACCCAGACAACTCAACACAGACAACAGCACTTTAACGGACGGAGTGTTATCAAGAGTAAACAATTGGGGATGCGGACCCTCTGACTTGGGATCTTCTGCTTTAATATCTCAACCCGTGTGGTGAGTACACACCCGAAAGGGGATAGTTTGAAAGCACCGTGGTGTGGGAAGAATTCACCAACTGATGCACCGATTGGAGATATCTGCTTGAAATGTTCATTGGATCCAAATTTCAATCATATCACGGCTTCTAATTTGGGACTTTCTTATAGTTTTATATTTTGTCATCAGCTGTTCACTGAAATGTTTTGATACTAATTTATCACTGTTGCACTTTATTAGGGTAAAACACATGAGTGAGAATATTATATATTGTAATTTTTGATACTATATATGGTTTTACACTGGATATTTAACACTGTGGACACACTGTATTTATAAGGATTTAAATTGTTATACACTGTATATTATAGATTTGTCTTATTATCTAATTTATATATATTTATATATTTAATTATATATATTTATATATTTACATTTTTATATATATTATGCACTTTAATTTTTAGCGCTGCACAATTTATACACTTTATCTATTTGGACCCCAGGGTTGAAAGCGCAGCTGCTTTGGTATCAGGATATTAAATCAGGGCTATCCATAAAGCGCGGATCCACATCTTTTAATAACAACAAATAGCATAAGAATGATCAGCTAGGCTGCTATTGGCCATTTCAAATTGGAAAAGCCAATAGTAGGCTGCCTATTGCACCCGCCTACTGATGCTGTCAATCAGCAGAGGTGGACCTGAAGTTCTCCATCAGGTCCACCTCTGCTGATTGACAGCAGCACTAGGCGGGGTGCAATAGCCAGACTACTATTGGCTATTTCAATTTGAAATGGCCAATAGCAGCCTAGCTATTCATTCTTATGCTATTTGTATTTCTTTACTTTGACGGCACCCTGCAGCAGCTGTCATAGTAGAAAAAAAAACCATAGCATGTTATCTGATGCTTTTTTTTTTTTTCTTTGTATTCAGACAGCAGCTGCAAAAAAATAAACAGGAAATTGCCCGATATCAGTGGGGTAGACAGGCTAGGATTGGTCAGGGCATTTTTGAATTTTAAATGGGGGTCCCTCCTCCCATTTATAATGTTTGGGAGGAGGACCCCATGCTGTGTTTTATTTGTTTACATATTGTGGAGATAACAGTCTGCTTCGGCAGACTGTCCTCCCTGCTTAGGCTGTGTGTTAAACTCAGTCGAACCGAAGCATATGCGTTCGGCTCGGCAGAGCCCTTTGGCTGCTTTCAGCTGCTGTACGGGCTATTGTGAATAGCCCGTACAGTGGCCTTTCGGTTCCACTGAACCAAAGGGCTCCCGCAGTTGAAGCGAGCCAAAGGATTAGTTGATGGTTCGGCTTAATCCTTCGGCTCCTTAGTGACTAACCCTCAGAAACTGGAGTAGTTTCCCATGGCAACTGATCAGATTCTCTCTTTAGTTTGTTCAGTTAGGCTTTGAAAATTAAAGAGAAGCTGATTGGTTGCCATGGTCAACTGCTCCAGATTCTCTTTGCTCATTTTTTATAAATTCACCCCTCTATGTTTGCAATTCATAAAGAACATATTATTGATTAATGTGGAACTCCAGTCCAAATCACTTGCGCCTCTCTGGGCACAGTTGATTGTTTTCAAGCAAGAGGCAGAGAGCCCAACTCTGAGGGCTCATTCTCTCTACTGTGCTGTGGTAACGTGTTGCTGCATGGTGTACTGACAGAAATGCTGCATGCACCTTTTGTGATACGTTTAGGTGCATTAGGCAGCCCATGCAAATGAATAAACTGCCTCATTACGAAGCACATTAAAACATAGCATGATGTGCAATAATGCATTAGTGTGAACAGGATTACATGGAACAAAGAAAAAAAAAAATAAGCCACTGCCCATTGTAATTAGGTTTTAACTTGATTTACAACCTGCACTGATTCTGCATTCTGCACTGACAAAAAAAAAAATCTGATCTGGTTATTATGACCAGCAGATCCACTTTATATTTGTTCCAGTCCCAGAACTTTTCATTTTTTATTGCCGCATTATATAATCTGAACTTCTAAATTAAATGGAAATGCATAAGATTCAAACAAATGCATATTTTTCCCTCCTATAATTGTATCTATCTCAGCTGCTGACTTCTGCTTTACTAATAATTATTTGTGGTAATCTATTTAACACAGGTGGAAGAAGATACATTTCAATAACACATTTGGAATATATACTAATACTAAAGAAAAGATGAATATTACAAGCATGAATGACACCCTGGCTAAACCCTCTAGTGGCTATAACAAATATTCCTACATACATTTTACCATAGCGGCTGCTGTAGCGCTATGTCTTTGTGTTGTTGGCCTAGTTGGAAATGTTATTGTGTTTTGGTACCTACGCTTCAAGATCCAGAGAAACAAATACACAGTTTATATTATGAATCTGTCTGCAGCTGATGCCTTGTTTATTATATTTACTATGGTGATCTTGATGGTCCAGATAAATAGACTCGTTGGTACACATCCTAACTTTATAGGGAAGGAGAAATTATATTTATTCATCGAAATAGTTTATGATACCATGCAGTATTCTGGAATGTTTATCCTTACAGCTGTCAGCATGGAAAGATGTAGCTTTGCCCTTTTCCCCTTTTGGTATCAAAGTCATCGGCCTAGGAACTTGTCCACTATTATGTGCACTGCTCTTTGGATTCTCTGGTGTTCGGAAAGTCTCCTTGAGAACCTTGTGTGTACAACAGAAGCTTTCATGGATCAAACCGTACAGTGTTCAGTAGTTCAAATAATAGTTTTTGTTTTAGCCAATGGAATCTGCCTACCAATTATGGGCATTTCCAGTTTCACCTTGCTCTTCAAAGTAAAGAGGACATTTAAACAGCGATACACACCTAAACTGTATATCGTCATTGCAGTTTTTGTATTCATCCTATCAGTTCTTCCATTTAATATGTTGTGGTTTTTAATGTTCTTCAGATTAATACCAACTGATTGGAGTACTGCAAGCATATACTTTGTGGCAGTTTTTTACACAGTTGTTAATCGCATCGTCAACCCCTACATTTACTTTTTTGCTGGGAGGAAATCTAAACAAAAGAGCCATCGCTCGATCATAGAAGCCCTCCAAAGAGCCTTTAGGGAGGAAGCTGATGAGAATGAGTCACAAAACAACTAATACATAGAGCCATATTAAAGCTGGGTACACACAAAGCAGATTTCTACTGACTGAGCCCTATTCCTTCAACAGCGGTCAATCATTAGATCAACTCTAGCCTGAAGGAACATGCTGGAAATTGCTCAGCCAAATGATACTTGCAGCCAACCGTTCGGATATTCTGACAGTGGCGCCAGCCACTGTCAGAAAAAAAGGGCACAGCAGGAGATTCACCCATCCGTGCTGTTCAGCATGGATTGAGGAATCTTTTATATTTTTTATTTTTGCCCACAGGTTGAACAAAAAAAACATATAACAATGTATACCCTAAATAAGTAAATTAATAAGGTGTGGAGCTTATTTTGTGATTCACATACTAAATACAAACCATAAAAAGTGCCATCTGCAATAATTAATAAAGTGCATTAACCACGAATGTTTTCACATCCTAATTTACATTGCATTTTCTATATAAAGTGCATCACAGCCATATTTCATAAAAAAAAGTGCAAAATTCTCAACCATGTCCCAGTGTGTATTACTTCATCAACCCACAAACAAGTGGTAATCTCAACAAGTGTCCAGTTATATCATGTGCAGCCTGTGTGAAAAAAGCCTTGTTATGCTTTACCCCTGCTTCAAAAATATACCTCGATGCTTCCTTGCTCCACCTGTAAATGGGGTGCTCCTCCACCCATGTTGGACCTACTCTACCTGAGTATAATATAGCACTATCCCATGCAATTCAGCTAAAAACAAAAATACAACGTATATACACCAGAGGGCAACCCATTACTGCAATTCAAATTCTTTATTAAAAAAACATCTAAAAACTCACATTTAAAAGTGCACACAATGTCTCATTTTTAAATTACAAGTTGCTGCTTCCTGCCGGGGACACTAAAGCTGGCCATATACTATGCAAAGTTCGCACCATGGGCGTTGCTGTCGTCACCCTTCCAGCCAACATTCCTCGATCAGAAAGTCGAAAATAGAACAGTGTATGGCCACCCTACGTGTTACGTCCTTAGAGTTTGTCAGGGATGGGGGGTGGTGCACCATACTTCCTCTATATACAGGTCTTATTTATCATTACTATGGTCACCACTCTCCTCCCCTCTCTTCCTGATAGGCTTCTTCAAAAGCTTCTTCTTCCTTTTATGACCATATATTTCCCAATTCAATCATTACCAATGTTCTCTCATATTATTATATGCGTTACTCTAACCTTACTACTTCACCTTGAGTTGTCTTCTAGATTGTCTTTCAAACGCAAAGCCCACCAACAATTACCTAGTTTAACAAGAAGATATGATTCAGAATGTGAATCTTAAATCAGGAACTTTTATCAAGTGAGAGTTAGGGGTCTATTCACAAAGCTGCCGAAGGATCTGGCCGTAGCTTCGGCCGATCCTTCGGCTAGCTTCGGCACCAGGACCCCTTCGGTTCAGGAGAACCGAGGGGGTGCTGTACGGGCTATTCACAATAGCCCGTACAGCTCCCGATCACGGCCGAGCGGCTCAGTCGAGCGCTGAGCCGTGCTGAAAGCCGAAGCTGGCCGAGCGGCCGGCCATTGGCCGGCCGACAGCCTGCTTCTGACAGCTGGGCGGAGCCAGCCGTGATCTTACGGCTGGCTCCGGCCACTTGCAGAGAGATCAGCGTCCCTGGTTACCTGCTAACCAGGGACACTGATCTCCAAACAGCTAACTCTCCCTGGCGCCCCGGGAGTCTCCTGCTCCCGGCCGCCAAGGAGAGAAACAGTGCTGTGTCTTTTTTTCTTTATTCTGACACGATCGATGTCAGAATAGAAAAAAAAAAAAAGATTTTTCCCATTGAAAAGCATTGGGACATTACTATTGGCTATTTCAATTTGCAATTTTCAATCTGCAGTTCCCCATCAGGTCCACCAGCAGAGGGCGGGAACAATGCTAGTTTACTATTGGCTATTGCAAATTGAAATAGCCAATAGTTAACTCCCAATGCTTTTCAATGGGAATTTGTCTTTTTAAAAAACAAAAATTTCTCTATTCTGACATCGCTCGTGTCAGAATAATGAAAAAAAAAGACGGCAGCTTAGTGAATATACCCCTTAGTCTACATAGGCATTTGGTGTCAGTGTACTATCACACTAAGGTCAGCTCTGTGTACATCCTTCCATAGGGTCACACTCAAGAAATGTAATCACATCTAACAAAATTCTTGACAAACTGTGAGAAGCATACCACAAATGTACTCTGGTCTGCAACTCCAATTCTAAAATAGTTGGGATGCTGTGTAAAATCTACATAAAAACAGAATGCAATGATTTGCAAATCGCATAAACCCATGGTTTATTCACAATAGAAAATAGAAAACACATCAAATTTAAACTAAGAAAATGTACCATTTAAAAAAATAAGGTAAGTTTGAAATTGATGGAAGCAACATATATCCAAAAAGGTGGGACAGTGCAACAAAAACCTAGTAAAGTAAGTGATACTAACAAGGAAGAGCTGGGAGAACATTTTGCAACTAATTAGGTTCATTGGCAACAGGTCAGTAACATGATTGGGCATAAAAAGAGCATCTTAGAGAGTCAGAGTGTCTCAGAAGTAAAGATGGGCAGAGGTTTACCAATCTATGAAGAGCTGCATCTAAAAATTGTTGCACAATTTCAGAATAATGTTCCTCAATGTAAAATTGCAAAGACTTTAATTATATCACTATCATTGTATTATCAATAGATTCCGAGAATCTGGAGAAATCTCTGTGCACAAGGACAAGGCTGAAACAAATATTGGATGCCCATGATCTTCGGGTCATCAGACGGCACTGCATTGAAAACAGTCATGATTCTGTGATGGCGTGAGGAGGGTTGCGCCGATGACGTAGTTCCGGTGCGCCGCCCGTACACGAGACTCGCTGCCACGCTATGGGAAAAGCCTGGCTGAAACTGCCCTATGCTCTCCCCTGCTAATTGGTAACCCCTATCCCCTGTCACTCAGCAACAACATTCTAGACCTTTTTAATGTTTCCTGTTTAAAAAAAAAAAAAAACACCAGCAGTGATAGAGGAACAACAAATCCCAGCAATAATACATTATACAGCCTGTATAATGTATTATTGCTGGGATTTGTTGTTCTTCTATAGCTGGTGGTATTCTGCATTGTGCCGCTGTATAATGGATTTGTAGTTCCTCTATAACTGGTCAATGGTATTGTGCATTGCGCTGTATAATCATTATACAGCAATGCAGAATACCACCAGCTATCGAGGACTACAAATCTACATTAATCTGATTTTTTTTTAAAAGGTTCCAGTGATGGACTACTAGTTTGTATTGAAATTGTAGTCTATCACGGGAGCAAGCTTGGAGCGGTGGAAGTGAAAAAAAGTGTGGTGTGCAATAAAGTACATTATACAGCGTCGCAATGCAGAATACCAGCAGCTATATAGGAATGCAGCAATAGTACATTATACTATAATGTACTATTGCTGGGATTTGTAGTCCTCTGTAGCTGGCGTCATTCTGCATTGCGCTGTATAAAATGTATTATTGCTGGGATCTGATGCATTCCTCTATAGCCGGTGTTATTTCAGAGGACGGGTATAATGGTGGAATGGGGTGCAGAGGATGGGTATGATGATGGAATGCAGAGCAGGGATGGAGAGGACGGGTATGATGGTGGAATTGGGTGCAGAGGACGGGTATGATGTTGAAATGGAGTGCAGAGATGGAGAGGATGGCTATGATGGTGGAATGGAGTGCAGGGAGGGAGAGGATGGGTATGATGGTGGAATGAGGTGCAGAGGATGGGTATGATGGTAGGATGGGGTGCAGAGGATGGGTATGATGGTGGAATGGGGTGCAGAGGATGGGTATGATGGTGGGATGGGGTGCAGAGGATGGGTATGATGGTGGGATGGGGTGCAGAGGATGGGTATGATGGTGGAATGGGGTGCAGAGGATGGGTATGATGGTGGAATGGGGTGCAGAGGATGGGTATGATGGTGGAATGGGGTGCAGAGGATGGGTATGATGGTGGAATGGGGTGCAGAGGATGGGTATGATGGTGGAATGGGGTGCAGGGGATGGGTATGATGGTGGAATGGGGTGCAGAGGATGGGTATGATGGTGGAATGGGGTGCAGAGGATGGGTATGATGGTGGAATGGGGTGCAGAGGATGGGTATGATGGTGGAATGGGGTGCAGAGGATGGGTATGATGGTGGAATGGGGTGCAGAGGATGGGTATGATGGTGGAATGGGGTGCAGAGGATGGGTATGATGGTGGAATGGGGTGCAGAGGATGGGTATGATGGTGGAATGGGGTGCAGAGGATGGGTATGATGGTGGAATGGGGTGCAGAGGATGGGTATGATGGTGGAATGGGGTGCAGAGGATGGGTATGATGGTGGAATGGAGTGCAGGGATGGAGAGCATGGGTATGATGGTGGAATGGACTGGATGGGTATGATGGTGGAATGGAGTGCAGAGATGGAGTGGATGGGTATGATGGTGGAATGATGTGCAGAGGACGGGTATGATGGTGTGATGGGATGCAGAGGATGGGTATGATGGTGGAATGGATGTTGGAATGGAGTGCAGGGAAGGAGAGGATGGGTATGATGGTGGGATGGGGTGCAGAGGATGGGTATGATGGTGGGATGGGGTGCAGAGGATGGGTATCATGGTGGGATGGAGTGGATGGATATGATGGTGGAATGGAGTGCAGAGATGGAGAGGATGGGTATGATGTTGGAATGGGGTGCAGAGGATAGGTATGATGGTGGGATGGGGTGCAGAGGATGGGTATGATGGTGGGATGGGGTGCAGTGGATGGGTATGATGGTGGAATGGGTGCAGAGGATGGGTATGATGGTGGACTGGAGTGCAGGGATGGAGAGGAGGGGTATGATGGTGGAATGGAGTGCAGGGATGGAGAGGATGGGTATAATGGTGGAATGAGGTGCAGAGGATGGGTATGATGGTGGAATGGGGTGCAGAGGACGGGTGGGATGAGGTGCAGAGGACGGTATGAT